GGAGAGGAAAAAGAAAAAGGAGAAAATAAAGAAATGTACTTGTGATCACTATCATCTAAACACTTTGGTCACATTTCGACGAGGGCCAATGAGGCGAAAAGTGATTTGGAGGTTGCCCAAATTCAACTTGAAAATCAGCCCGAAAATCTGGAATTTCAGCTTTTGGTTAAAAATTTGAGGAAAAAAAACTGTTGGGTTGTGTGAAGCGAAGAGGAGCTTTTATTATCAAAAGGCTAAATGCATCTTCCTTAAGTAAAGTGATAAATGTACAAAGTTCTTTCATTCCATTGTTAAAAGGAACTCTAGAAGGAATTTTATTGCTACTATTCTTAAAGAGGATGGGGAGTCTTCTACTTCTCAACACCAAGTTGTTTCGGAATTTGTAAAATTCTATACTTCGTTGCTTGGAACTTATTGCCCTTCTCGGCCGATTCAAAGGGAGATCATCACCAATGGTCCGTTAGTTTCATTGGAACAAGGTAACTCTTTGACCCGGGAAATTACCTATGATGAAGTTAAAGAAGCACTTTTTGATATCGGAGATGATAAATCTCCCGATCCGGATGGTTACACTTCTTGTTTTTTCAAGAATGCATGGGGGATTATTGGTGATGAGTTTGTGGGTGCAATCATGGAGTTCTTTTCTTTGGGTCTATGCTCAAACAACTCAACCATTCCGTTATTGCTTTGGTGCCTAAGTCGGATCATGCTTCGCATGTTGGGGATTTTAGACCTATCTCTTGTTGTAACGTGATCTATAAAGTGATCACCAAAATTGTTGCATCAAGATTGAGGCCTATATTGGGAGATATTGTTGACCAAGCACAAGCCGCCTTCATTGAAGGTAGAAGCATGACGGAAAATATTCATCTTGCTCAAAAGCTTATGAGGCAATACAATAGGAAGAGAGTTGCTCCGAGGTGCCTCCTTAAGATTGATATTAGCAAAGCCTTTGATTCGGTTAGTTGGGACTTTCTCAAGAGTGTTCTTGAAGGGTTAAATTTTCCTTTGACATTTGTTCAATGGATTATGGAGTGTGTTACCACTCCGACACATTCGGTTGCTTTGAATGGAAGTATGCATGGTTTCTTCAAAGGCGGGAAAGGCCTTCGGCAAGGTGATCCACTCTCCCCTTTCTTGTTCGTGATTTGTCTTGAATATTTTTCTAGAATGATCAAGGATGCTACAAATGATAGTGATTTTAATTATCACCCAAAATGTGGTCCCCTTAAGATAACCCACTTGGCTTTTGCGGATGACTTGATGCTTTTTGCAAGGGGTGATGCTATGTCCGTTGAAATTCTTATCGATTGCCTTGACAAATTTGGTTTAGCATCGGGTTTAAAGATCAACACTACGAAATCCAGCATCTACACAGCTGGAATTTTCGGGTATGAGCTCCAAAATATTATGGAAGTCTCAAAATTTTCCAAAGGATCTATGCCTTTTCGTTACTTGGGTATTCCCCTTGCATCGGAGAAGCTCAAAGTGAGTTCTTATGCACCGTTTCTTGAAAAAATAGCGGGTTATATTGGAGCTTGGAGT